CTCAAACGAGGACTCGGCAAGCAGTCTGACGCACTGGCGTGGCGGCGTGAGATCAATCGACAACATGAGGTCGCCCTCACTATGGCCAAAGATTATCAGGCTGTAGAAAAGGAGCGAAGGGCAAAAAAGCATAATGATGCTCTGAGTCGACTGGAAAAAGCTGCTGTACCTCAACCAAGTGGAAACGAACACTCGGCGGACCCCCTAGAAGCTTCAGGAGAGATGGAAGATCCTGCAAGAGCTCCACCGAGATCTCTTTTTGAGATTGGGAGCCGGGCGTGGTTGTACATGGAACGCGTCAAACCGGGCTTGACAAAGAAATTAGCTCACCAATGGCATGGACCTTTTCGGATCAAACACAAGGTGGAAGAGTTTGCGTACGAGCTGGAACTGCCTGACCGAAGTGGGTATCGCTTTTACCCAGTAGTGCATGTGTCGAGACTCAAGGCTGTCAACGAGTTCAACAGTCGGCCGAACACTCGGTTGGTACTTGACACGACTAATGAAGCAAGACTCGACTTCGATGAGGAACTACTGCCTGAAGACAGCTGGGAACCAAAGGCAACAGCCGGTGAATATGAGGTCGAGGCCATCCTCGCAGGGAGAACACCCCTGTCGACGAGCACGGAGCGTGCTGTACGCGAGTTCAAAGTCAAAGTGGGTGAGCAAAGAAGATACAACTTGGGAACCTTCATCAAACTTGTCATGTGGAGGTCTGCTGTACGACTATTTGCGAGCCAAGAAGAGCGAGAATCGGCTGCAGATGGCGCAGGTGGCGGACGAAGCCTAGCGTGACTGGATCACGTGTGAACTGTCCACAGGGCGATGCAGCCTGTGGTAACAGACGAAAAACGTTACTGCAACAACAAATTGTATATGCATTTGAAGAACAACATGAACATGATTACGCTGTGGAAGTGGATTAAGAATAAGAAAACATGAATGCCGAACGGAGAGCGACCACTGAAAACGAAGTCACGCGGGATACCTCAACAGTTGGCTGAGATGCTGGAGAACGTCGTGGAACACGCAGCGAGGACATCATCGAAACCAACAGCAGTCTCGAGGCGACGCTGAGTGTGCATATCGCCGTGGAGAGGAGGCGCAACGCTGAGCTGCACTTGGTGACGAGCCATTGCAGTCAAGTACGGGATTATCGAGGTCATCATGTGATCGACCGATGCCTCCGTACTTTCAGCCAGCATGGCGCGCAGCGAATCTTCGGTGAGTGGTGGTGGACCACCAGCTGGGGCAGGAGGAGCAGCAGGAGCCATCTCCGCGGATTCAGCGACGACGGGGAGTGCTGCAGGAGCTACCACAGGGAGTGAAGAGTCCGGGGCAGCGGGCGCCGGAGGACCGGTTGATGACGCTGCTGTCGGAGGAAGTGCAGCAGACTGAGGGGCGTTCGAACCCTCGGTCTTGCTCTCCTGAGAAACAAGTCGAGTAATGCGAGGTGATGAGCAAGGTACCGATGATTCAAGAGAAGGATGGGCTTACGTACCTCCAGCTGCTCACGCTCGCGACGTCTACGAGGATTGAGACGCTGAAACGCGTCGAACACGGCTCGATTCAGACGCTTGGACATACGGTGGCGAGATGGTGAATTGAAGAATGAAGAAATGTCACAACGGGCACCAGTACCGTGGCTTCCATTGCGACAGGGGCAGTTGTGGTGTAGTGATTTCTCCGTAGTTGCGGATTATCACCCGTCGACAAAGACGTGACACCGCCCAAGTTGTTCAAGCGACGAACCCTCGGTCGGGTGATGTATGGAGACGCCAAGGTGCAAGGGACTCGACGGCGTCACCTCCGAGTTTTCAACAAGTATCGGATATGGCCCTATGTCACTGAATCCAGGCTGTTCTTATTATTAATAATGGACTGGCCGGATTCGCATTCAGCGGACCATCTACGGTACGAACCCTCAGTGGCGGTTGGGATGAGTTCGCGGAATACTCAGCGACCTTTGAAAGACACGTTCACCGTCTGGGACAGGGCGCGGACCGTTAAAGATGCTCATGCGACGGTGCAGACGACGCTTGGCATGCAAGAAGATCCATAACGGATCATTGTTCACTTGATATTTGTATACTTGATTAGGACTTCTTATTAGGAATAGACCCGAAAGGGTAAGCTTAAATACAGAACAGAATTTCCACTCAAGCACACAGAGCGACGTCCGGCTTCAAGGTAAGCGTCAGGTCAAGCTTGTTTGAGTGTGTTATGCCTGTCGGTGAACTCGAAGCTCTGTAGCGAGGGTTCATCGGGCAAGGCCAAGAGACTTTGTGTATTGGCCGATTATTATCGGGAGGTTTTACGTGACGGCTTATTGTTGCCTATTTGCACGACTGGGAGTGCTTGAATTGCCTCCCTTTTATTTCTTCCAGCCGAGTGTTGAACACTCGGTGATCTCGTAAAAGGCTTACCCGTGCCTGGTACCCTTCCGCTGTTGGGACCACGAGGATTCAAAACACCTGCTAGCTTTGCTCGTGCTAGTAGCGTGTTCTTATTTTACTGGTTGGCCTATATAAGTAGTTTACAAGGTCCAGTTTGTCCCGGTGCAAGGGCAGAACTGGGGTCTTCAGGTCCGCCCGAACGATCGTTTACTATCCTAGTAGACGTATTGTTGTGGGAACATCCTAGCTACATCTGTAGCTAGAGTTCACGTGGGATTTCCAACACGACATTTATCTAGGGCTAAATCAGCTTCATGACGGAGCACTACATGGGTAGTTCATTGCTTTTGATGTTCGAGTATTTTCAATATAAATTCTTGCATCCGTTTACCACGATCTCCGTCGGCTTGACGACGACGGTCTTCTAGTTGAAGTTCGTGTGCTCGTCGCTTTTCAGCTTCTTCGGTAGTATGTAACCTCTTTTTGTCCTCTTATTCCCGTTCAAACTGAAGGCGCTGCATCTTGTACTGAAACTTGGCCTTTTCGTCTTCACTGGCTTCCAAAAGAACACTAGTTATCCCGTAAGTTACTACAACTAGCCGCTCACTTTTGGTATTTTTTCTCTTGCGTCCGCTATTGGTACCTGGAGACGATCGAGTGGTTCTCTTGCTGGGTGTGGCAGCACCCACAGTACAAGACGAAATTGATGCCTTCACAGATTCACTGGCTAAATCTTCACATTGACTACCGTCGATAAAGCCCGCTTGACGGTCTGCTTCCTCAGAAGCGATTTCTCCCATCGCGAGACTACGCAAAAGCTCGCCTGAACGTTCGATTCCACGTTGCTTAGCTGTTTGATTTTCCTTGCGTTGTGCCCCTTTATCCTCCCAGCCATTCATCAGCGCAACTATATTCTGAGGTAGCATTTCACGCTCAGCATACTCCTCCACTGTCCCTGACCCCTGCATCGATTGACACTGGTCTGTCTTGTACTGAGTAACGAGATTTGTGAAGCGAGTGCGCATTGCTGCCCCAGGCTTCTTTAATCCAAACGATTTATCAAAACGACAATGAATAGCGATGTCATCGAAGACCTTCATGATGCCCTTCGACGTCCCAACTGCAGTGGTCCAGGGACGAAAGGTGTTCACAGCCTTGACCAGCACTATATCGTCCACAGCAGCAAACTTCTGGCGCGATGCCGGTCGTGCAAGAAGCGCTTCTTTCTCCTGTGCCTGAATCTCTTCACCCATTTCTTCAGCACTATTGTCAACTCCCCGTGGTGGCCTATGCTGATCGTCACGCTGACCGGTCGTAGACATCGCGGATGCTACGGTGAAGTGTGTGGGGTGCGCGAGGTGCGTGAGCTATTTGAAAATGAAGCTGAAAAATGCGGTTGTTCCGAAAATAGCATTTGAGCTTTCTGTTGAGATATCAAAATAGCGGCTATCTGGAACTGAAACTTAACTCAAACGTGGTTCCGAATGTTCTCTATTGAGAGACCCTCTTAACCACTTTATTTAGAAGGAATTACATGTACTATTGGGGATATCAATACAGTACAGAGAGGATCGTCTGTAAGACACAATAACACATTTCCTTAAGTTTCATTTAGGAGAGGTTTTAGTATGTAAAACTTTTTCTGGTTGTGCTATCCATACGAGTAGTGCGTACAGCCCTATAGATTAATTCGGTGTATGTAGTAGGTATCGATTCGATACAAAATTCAAATGATTTTCTAACCAAGCTCTATTAAGCTCTGAAGGTTTCACTTTCGTAAAGGTTTTGCTAAGATATCTTGAGATGCAGTTAAATCACTTGATTGGTGGGCATGGACAAAATAGTGAGCTTCGTCACTGTCGATTTGTGGTGTTCTGTGCGGCGCTGGAGTAAATGCAGTTTCTGTCGAAGTCTTTGGTGCAAATGTTCCTGGCATTGAAAATTGCCTTTTTCACGCCTGCAGACAATTTGGGGTGGCGTCTTTTGGAAATGTATACCATTTGAGAGTTGCTGTTGCTCGTGTTGTTAGGCAATTTATGACTCATATCACGATGGATCATTCATTACGTGTTGGATAATTGATTGCTTAACCAAATCAGTATTACTACTTCGAAGTATTTCTCAGGGGCATTTACTGTATGCTACGGATACAACTGTGCAATGAACGCTGTGGTTTACTCAAAGGCACGCTTCTCCGTCCCCATCCTGTGGAGACAGATTGAAACGCTGACCCACCCACCCATACGGGAGCGGATACCGGTATTTATCGCTAGACTCCGCAACGAAGGCTCCACAACGAAGAAGAAACGGTATTTAACTATTCCCCTAAAACTTAAACCTTTAGCCCGCTACGACGCCTCGCTTGATATAATAGTGATGGTCATTATCGGTCCTGGGTTTACACCCGCGTGCTATGCACACGATCTACAAACCGCAGGCACGCTCGCTGCACTCGCTTTAGGTACCCTACGCGTTTCGCGCGCGCCAATATATGTACAGTACCCTTAAGACGGGTGATTAAAATCGGTGTCGTAAATCGGTGTCAGTGACTCCGATTAAATATGTCTTCCAGGCTGGAGGACATCTTTAACCTCGAATCCAGCTGCACTCAGATGGAGATTGGCAGTGGCAGGAGAGCGAGGAATTGACGAATGAACTTGGCGCTTTCTTTTTGCAAATCCCGGAGTATAGCGAGCTGACACACCCAGCCTGCCTGTCGGAATTGTCCCCTGGCCCACCTTTTCACGGAGGAGACAGCGGCGCTGTCTCCGCACCGCAGACTCTGGCCCAGAGAGCTTACTGGCCATTTTACAATTCGCACGCTGAGACTCACCCTGACATTTCTCGTTCTTTGCACCATGGTCTTCTCCTCTACTACCTGTATTCTGGGTGTGGCGGCGCTCGCGTCGGCCTACCTTGCGGCTCCCGCCGCCGCTGCGGATGAACCGCTCCCCTGGGACGGCCGCGTATTCGACCTGACCGTCGACACGTTGCCGGACAAGTACCTGACGCACATCCTGACCATGCGCAACAATGGCACGGACGGAAAGGTATCGGACTACGTGTCGATCGAGAAGGACGGTCGTTCACCCGGCTACAACGGTGACACGGGCGTCATTAACATCGGCGTGGACGCGAAAGCCATTTTCAAGACGCAAAACAACTTCCGTCGCTCCGAGTTGGTGCAGAACATTGCGGCCAACACCAAGGGCACCACATTTTTTCGCACCAGCGTCATGAAGGAGGAGGCATTCTTGAACCCTTATGCTTGGCAGATGATCTTCCCGGAGTCGCACATCTTCGAGATCCGTGTGGATGCCTCGGCTAGTCCCGCTAAGATTATCTACCTGAACAACGGCACTTGGGACGCCAAGTGGGAGACTGAGTTCGTGCCGGGTACGTGGTACAACTTCGGCATCGGTATTTCGGCTGCCACGTCGGGCAACGGCTCTGTCCTCGAGTTCTACACCAGTGAAGGCGACAAGGAGCTCGCCCTTGAGGCCACCCACGACGTCGTGACCGAGTTCCCCTCGACCTACGAGTTCCATTATGGTCTTTTGACCCTGTCCGACGATGGCAGTGAACCCAAGATGAATGCCAAACAGGACATCGTGTCCTACAACGGTGTGTCGGTGGAGGCTGACGTTTCGACTTCTGCCACGGGCGATGCTGCGTCCAAGGCTTCCAAGACTACTGGATCCATTGGTGCTGAGTCCTCGTCCTATGTTTCCACGGAGACTACTGAGGCCCCGACCACGCAGAACGAGACCCCTGCCACCCAGAACGAGATTCCCGCCACCAAGACGGGCATCGTCAAGAGCTCAGATGGTGGCTGCGCCCGCAAATAAGTGCGCCTAATGTTATGTCTGTTGTGATTTCGCTGAAGTGATACAGACAGTGACGGAGACGAGAAACGTAAAGCATCGGTCAGGAGATGGCCTTGTAAAAAGGGTTTATATCCCTCTGTTAGCTGTATCATGATGGGATAAATGTTCAATCCAAGTTTTGCAGGATTTTTGTATACAATCTGAAAAAATGACGGATAGATTTTCAATGGAAGTTATTATAGTTCATGTGATTTTACCAAGGTCACTGCAATATACTACTAGTACTTATTTGAGTATACAAGTATACAGTGTACGTAGTACTGTACTAGTACTGTTTAATACTACGCAGTACTTCAGTAGTAGTACTACTGTTGTACTACTGCAGTACTAGTAGTACTGTACTACTGAGGGGTCACTGACAGACTGCTGGGAAATAAAATAGCGATTTCATTTGCCAGGCATTAAACCTAGGAGGTGGCCCACCTCCGGTGGGAAACTAAACAAGAAAGTCTTCTGGCTCAGCTCCGAGATTGGTAGTGATGATGAGAAGAGCAGTTTGCGAGTCGATGTGGCTCACGTTGCAAAACAAAAGACAGTAGATTTACAAGGGTTTGCATATAAGCAGTGAGAGCTCAAGTCACAACACTTGACTAAGCGTAGTATTTTTGGACCATCGAATTGTTTATCCTTTTTCTGACATTTGTTTTTCCCAAAGCTGGAGTTAGTTCAGAAACTAAAGATTTCGGGGAAGAGGGACCTGGTAGTGTAGTAGTCGACAATTGTCAGTTCATTTATCAGTATCTAGATAAACGGATATTAATGTAATTAAAGAAGCGTTATTATGAATGCACATATCTCAAGTAATTTGGGGTATATTAGCCCTTTTGTTCCCCATTGTAAATATTCCAAAGTTCATTAAAGCGATTTTTTTGTAAAACGATGCATAGTGCCACGGTTTTACGGTCCATTTCCGTTAAGTCAAAAATTAATTTAGAAAAATCATGGGTATAAGATTTTTTTAAAACGCATCGTTTGCAACATTTTCTGGCTGGAGCATAATTGGCTCAAAATTAAATTTAAAATTTTGATTGGGTGATTTTGGTGAAGCGATGCATTACGCCACGCTTTACAAGGGCTGGCAACAAAAGGGTTAATACTTCGCAGCCGTCGATTAGAGTGAGCTGATGAGGATGTTCCTTCCTCAGCTATAAAATCAATGTACACGCGTGTACATACCTAGCGTTATTACCTGTAAGGCAAATCAGCAAAACAAGAGCTAGTGCTCGGTCCGTCAGCTGACTGTGCGGCTTCGAACTGTTTGGGCAAGAACGCCGGTGTGCTCCGGCAAATCTGTGATCGTCGTGAAGCCCCCTCGTCGATGCGGAACGGTTTGAGAGCGTTCTTCACTTTGCGTGAATACGCCTCCGGCGTCGCACGAGTAGAGTTTGGAAAGATTATCGATGACCGGGCCGTTGTAAGACTTGGCGTCTCGAGCATTCCGACCTGGCTGACCTCCCATCCACATGAGACGACGTCGATGAGAACAGCTCTCGAACAATCGGAGGAGGCCAAAATAACCCCAAGTATCGACGCAGATGCTCACGAACCAGACGCGAGCGACCACCGCCGACATTTTGGCCATACGGCGCGGAGTCTGTGCGTTGGAGATCGTCAACCGGACGTTTGTTTGCCAGTCCCAGAACCTAGAACGGTTCTCGTTCCAAATTGGCCAATGCGAAACGTGCACATGAGGGAATTCCTGCGGATTGTACCACAAGTTGGAGCCTCGCCACGGAAAGGCCAGCTGGTACGGTTCTTGGCCTAGCTCGGACGCTTCGTGATAGATCCTCTGAAGGTCCTCGGAGAAGGAGTCGTGTCCGCCAACTTGAGCGGCAACACATACGAAGACCACGCGTGACTCTGCCGCTTCATGCCGGAGCGAGGGCTCTCTGTCAGCGTGTTCTTCTTGGCGGATCCAGTACTAACACTCTTTAACGAAGACAAACCGTCCTGGGTGCAGCGCGGATGTCGGGGCGGCTCCCCGCGGGCAGGCTTGCGTGATGTCTTCGGCATGATCACTACGGGCCCAGTCACGGCGTCCGCCGCCTTCCCAGTGTCGTCCAGAATTGCCTCGCGATGGAGTCCAGTACCTCGAGGCCGAAGGAGCTTGCGTTAACCGCGAGTATGCCCCGCATGGTGATCCAGAAACGTTCGTCGGCCGGAGACTTGTCGAGGGAGGAGCTGTCGGAGTCGGACGACTTCACGTTCCAGACGGCCTTGAACTTGCGGGGCGCCTTGCCACGCGAAGAGCCCAAACTACGGCCGCGCGGAAAAGAAGGGAGCGAAGGAAGCATCTGTGGTCGAGGCAAAATTGCCGAATGAGCTGAAAGACTGGCCGTCGGGACCTGGACCTCCAGTTCCGTCCCTCTGGGAGGATTTCTTGTGAAAGCTACTTACTGTGTGCAAGATGGACTCTCGCAAGAGACGAGAAACCGGTGACCTCCTTTCTCAAAAACTTGCTTGATGGTTACCGACTAAGACCGATGGAGAACGACTGACTTCAGAAAGAGGCAACTCGAACGGAGACATTTTTTTTTCTTATTTGCAAAGGTGTTCCTCTCCTACAATGGGGTCTTCCTCCAAGGCGTCATCAGCGGCTCGAGCCTCCTCCGAATCCTCCGGACTTTCATCGTCGTCGTCGTCCTCATCGTCCTCATCGCCCAGAGTGAAGGGATACGGGCCGAAGGACGACGTACGCTTCGACGACGATCGGATAGGAGGTCCTGAGCCGTCGGACCAGTCTGATCCTCATCCTCGTCGTCCTGAA